GCCCATCTCTGGCCTCCCTGCAAGCGCAGGCCCCGCTGGAGTTGAGGAGGAGGTGCTAAAACCCTCCTGCATCAGGGGCCCGTGTGCAATATTGACAGTTAGGGACACACAAGTTCCCCTTTGGGCCAGGAGCGTCTCTCTGCCCCAGTTCAAGAAAGGCAAGGCTGTGGGAGAGAGAGGGCAGAGCGTGTCCACCCAGAGGACTCCGCTGGACTCCACCCAGCCAAGCTGCTAAGCAGTTAAACCGAGGAAGCCTGACAGGTTTGACGAGGAGGCCCTGCTGGCACCATACCACACCACACCACAGCAGGCCCAGCCTACCTACGCTTCTGTCTGACGTCTGCGCCTGCAGATGCTTCCCCTCCAACTCCTCGGGTCGGGCGGGCACAGGCACAGGCACAGGCTCACGAAGGGAGCTGGAGTTGCCTCCGGACGCCTGGGGAGCAGCCCCTTCAGGCTGCCCTGGAGGGCGGGGCCTGCCCTGGCTCCCCCCTGTCTGGTGCTTTTACTTGTGGTCAGATTTTGTTCCCCGTTCATCTGCAAGACTATAATTTTGGGGGTGTTGCTTCATGCCTCCGTGTGTGTGCCTCTGTCACCCTCCACCCTAGTGCAGGGTGGACTCTCACCTTGACCTTCACCCCCTCCCCCTCCCTCCTCCTCACCCCCCCACCCCCCGCCCCAACCACAGCAACTTTCAGGATCCAGGGGTCACTTTGTGCTGTTTCCCATTTGCTGCTTTGGTTACTTACACCCACCTGGGCCTGATGACCCCACTTCTGCCTTTTACTTTGCCTCTCCCTGTCCCTGCCTTAGGCGCTCTGGAGACTGGCAGCTGGGACAGGAAGGCCCTTGAACGCACCTGTGAACTGGCCCCAGCCAGGCAGCAGGTGCGGGCAGCCGCCCTGCGTGGGGACAGGTGCACGCCAGGGAGGTGCGGTGGCCTCGAGCATCTGCACCCGGAGAGTGGGCGCCGCAGGGCCTGGGGCTCAGCGGAGGTCACCGCCTGTGGCTTCACCGCCCCCTGAGCCTGTGCAGTTTCTGTGTGAATCTCCAATTTCCCCTTTTCTGAATGATGGAAGCACATTCCAAAAAAAGCTCTCTGACTCAGGCGCTTATGGACCCTCCCCTAGTCGTGGGCCTGAAAACAACACTTACCTGGAGGGACGCTGTCATCCTTACTACGTATCCCCAGAGCCAAGGGTCTAACTAGGGAAGGAAGAGTTGATGGTTTTAGACGGAGGCCAGATCACTGCTCAGAAATGTTCCCTTGAGCCTGAGGGCACAGGGTGTTCAGCATAGCGGGGAGGGCGGGCGGCTAGAACCAGACTGAATTCTCATACTTTAGACCGTAAGTCACGCAGGGCAGTTTCTTAACCTCTGGGATTTGCTTTGTTTGTTTGTTTGTTTGTTTTTAGGATTTATTTATTGGGGCCTCCCCGGTGGCGCAGTGGGTTGAGCACAGCGTTGTGAAGCTGTCCACAGCCTCTGCAGTGCGGGTTCGATTCCCGGCCGGCCAGGGAGATGCCCACATGGCGTGGCGGACCTCTCCTGTCTCACCCCCTGCTCCCCTCAGCAGTGGATTTCATCAGTCTGCCTGTTCTGTTCCCTGCTCTGTCTCTGGTGAATCCTTTCACCCTCCCTCGCTTCTGGCCGGTACCCCGTTCTTGTATAAATAAAATAAATCTTTAAAAAAAAAGATTTATTTATTTATGCATATTAGAATTGGGGTGCAGGCCAGAGGTGTGCGAGAGGTGAGAGGACTCCCCAGAGATAGAGTGGGGAGCAGAACAGGCGGATCCACTGAAATCCACCTGCTGAGGGGTACAGAGGGGAGACAGGAGAGGTCTGCTGCGCCCTGTGGGTAGCTCCCTGGCCGGGGATCAAACTGAGGCTGCAGCAGTGATGGCGCTGAGACTTAACCCCTAGGCCACCAGGGAGGCCCTCAATATTTTCTCTTACTAAAACGTGTTTTGGTTAATACGGCGTTTGGGTCAGGGACACGGGTGGCACTGGGCCCCCCAGCTGGGGACCAGAAGGACCCACTTCTGTCCTTTGGCAGTGACTCGAACATCGTTTACCCCACAAGTGAGCTGCCTCAGGTTGCTGAGCAAGGAGATGGTTCCTCTTTCTTGCAGTGAACTGAGGTGCTCTGTGTAGTTTCAGAAACATGCTCAGGATGCACCTCTTTCCTCAGCACAAGGTCACTGCCAAGGTCAGCGGGAGAGCGGCTATCAGCGAGCTGTGTCTGCCAGCATGAGGTGTCAGCTACAAGTGGCAGAAAAAATAGCCGACCCGACTGGGGTCACTAGCGGCGGCTATGCCAGACCCTGGATTCGGACTCTTAACCCTCTTGTAAGAAGCAAGCTGCTCCCTCACCCCGACTGCACCAGGTGCCTCTGTTTACACGACTGTGTATTTGGGGGGCAGGCTCCACACCTCCACACGTGCACCTGCTTCCTTGCCCGACACCGCGCGCCAGTGCCCCGTCCTGTCCTCTCCCCTCCCCCTGGTCGCCTGGGTAGTTGTCAGAGCCTGAGTTATTTCTGTTGTGTTGCCAGCGTGTCCTCTGTGGCTATTTAGGTCCACACGTGAGTGAGGCCGCCTGGTGACCGTCCTCACGGTCTGGCTCACTTCACTGGGCAGAACACCTCGAGGGCCAGCCACAGCGTCCTACGAGGCCCTATGTCATCTCTTTAGACGGCTGCATCGTATGCCGCTGAGCACACGGTGCGTGACTGTTCACCCGTCATGTGTCCTGGGCGTTTAGGTTGCGTCCCTGACATGACCACAGTGGACAGTGCTGTGGGCATGTTCTGTGGGTGACACCTCGGAGAGCACAGCTGGGCCTCATGGGTTCCAAATACACTTTCTGAAACCCCCCCCGCTGATCCCCAGCAGCTCTGCAGTCCCTGGAGCATTGCACCCCCGGGCTGCAGAGCGAGGCTGGAGGGGAGTCCATGCCCCCAGGAGCCCCCTGACTCTGCCCGCCCCAGCCCCGTGCAGTGTGTGCCCCGGGACGGCTTCTGAAGGTTGAAGGGAGTGCGTCCCCGAGAGCTCCTGGCCAAGTCGGTGGCAGCACGAAGACGGGAGTCATAGTCTTTGATGTCCAGCCTCACCCGGGGCCGTCGGATGGGCCAGTTCCCCGGGAAGGTGGTGTGGACATCTGCTGCCACCGTGCCAGCCACCCGCCCGGTTCGGTGCTCCGTGCCTTTAGCTTTCTTAGGGAAGCGTAATCGACCTTGCAGAGGTCACAAGCTTGGGCAGCAGCGAGATGGGCTGGGAGCAGTGGCGGGTAGGGCAGGAGGCAGGTGTGGGGAGGAGAGCGTTGGGAGATTAGCTTCCCACCTCGGCCATCTTGGAGCCAGAGTGGACGTGTGGGAGCCTGTGAGGTGTTTGGGTCTCTGTGTAGCTGCCCAGACTACTGGTGGGGGGCCCCGAGGAACCCTGGACAGAGCCTTTGCCTCCACTGGGGGTGGGGGGGTTATGGATGCAACTGCAGGGCCTTCTTATCACACGTTACTGGGAAGAAGCTGTCCCTGGTTTCACTACACTGTTGTTAAGGACAGTGAGGGGACCCCTCTGTATCTTCCGGAACCTGACCCTGCTCTCCCCACAGAGCACGAAGGAATCGTTTGTGGAACAAGTCAGGCGGGCGGTGGCCAAACATAGTGAATTGAATTCAGTGCCCCTCCACGACTCGCCCCTCCCCCCAGCCCGGGCTGCTGCAGCCTGGATCCTGCTGTGGGAGCAGCACTGGCCGTCTTGCTGGACAGAGGGCCACGCGCCGTCAGAACCCGTGGCATGTTTGCCTTTATCACAAACGCGAGGCAGCGGAGCTGACGGTGGCCACTGCCGGCGCCCGCCGCGGTCAGCCTTCCCTCTGCGCCCAGCGCCCTGGATGTCATGTGCTCTGCGTGCTCCCTGGTGAAGACCGAGATCGAGACATTTTGGCGAAGGCCTCAGCCTGGAAGGTGAGGTGCGGCCGGAGGAGCAACAGGTGACCCAGGGAAGCGGCTCCGCGCCTTTCAGCACCCCCTCGGGGAGGGGGTCAGCAGCTGGCCTTGTTTGGAGAGATGACGAACGTTTTCTTATAAAGATCTGTAAAGGGAGTTCATTAAAATATAGTTTCACGGTTTTCCCAATCATAAAAACAGCTTTTTACGGCCGGGGTGGCGGGGGCTGTTTCTGGACCAGGTCGCAGGGCGCAGCTCACCCCAGCCGGCGGGAGGGGCGCCAGCTGCTGGAATGTCCTGGCTCGGGGTTACTCATCCTGCTCCCGGTGATCTCTGCCCAGGTGTCTCCCCGGCGGGGGGGCGGGCGGCGCCCTGAGAAAGGGCGCGGGCCGGCTCTGTCTCCGTCTGGGAGCCGGTCCCTTCAGGGCCCAGCAAGGAACGGGCCCGACAAAAGGGGTCGCAGTTTCTATTTCCAGGGGGCCCCCAGGAAAACCGGCGAGCGCTGCCCTCCTTGTCCCCTGCAAGTGCCGACCCTTGGGGCGGGCGGGCCGCGACTCCCCAGGCGAGGCCGCTGCGGACCGTGAACCAAAACACGCGCACGCGGCGCCCGTCACGGCCGCGCCCAGCGCCCCTCCCCGACGGCGCGTGTCCCCGCGGCCCGGCCCGGCCGGTGTCCGGCCGCGCCCCGGTGTGCGCGCCCCCCGCGCCCCCCGCACCAAACCCCCCCCCCGCCCCCGGCCGCGGCAGCGGGGCGCGGGGGGCCGGGCGGGGCGGGGCGCGGCCGGGCGGGCGCGCCGGCGACACCGGGGGGCGGGGCGCGCACCCCGCCCGGGAAGAGCCGGGCCAGGTGTGGCCTCGCCCGGCCCGCGGGGAGGAGCCTGCGCCGACCCACACCGCCTCCCCGCCGCCGCCCGGCTCCTGTGCGCCCCGGCCGCCCGCCGCGCCGCTGCTCCCGCGCCCGAGCCCCGCGCCCGCCCGCCCGCCCGCCCGCCCGCCCGCCGCAGAGGACGAGCCCGCCCCGCCAGCCGGCCCGCGCGCGGCGCCGCCATGAGCTGCAACGGAGGCTCCCACCCGCGCATCAACACGCTGGGCCGCCTGACCCGCGCCGAGTCCGGCCCCGACCTGCGCTTCGAGATGGGCGGCGGCGGCCCCCGGGGGTGCTGCCCGCGGCGCTGCCCCGCCGGCGACCAGACCTCGGACGGCTACTGGTGGGTGCGCGCGGGCGGGGCGGCGCCGGGGGGCGCGGGCCGGCGGGGCGGGGGCGCCTGCCGGCCGAGGCGCCGGTCCCGCCGCGAAGCCCGACGCCGCGCGCGCCGGGAGTCGGCCCGGGCCCCACGTCCCTGGTCCCCGCGGCGCCCCGAGGGTCTTTGCGCAGAGGCGCGCGTTCCGGGGCGCGCGTCCTGACCGGGGTACCTGTGAGGCGCCCCCGGCCACCCCGACGCCGCGCGGGGAGCGCACGGGCCGAGCCCCTTGTTCCCCCGAAGCGCCCGGAGGCTCCGCGGCGTCCCGGGCCTGGGGCGGGGGCTGCGGGCGGGAGCGGCCCGGGGCCCACGGGAAGGCGCGACCCGCCGCGAGACCCCCGGGACCCCCGCGGGGCGGGCGGCGGGGGCGCGGGGGGCGGGCCGGGGGCTCAGCCTTGGGGCGCGTCCCCGCGCCCCGGGGAGGCCCGACAGGCTGGGGGCCCGGCCGGGCCGGGGCGCAGCCGGGCTGGCCCGGGGTGGTTCTGGTCTGCGGCGGCTCTGGAGACGGGACGAGCGCGCCGTGTCCTGCTCCGCGCGGCGCTTCTGTGCCGGGTCCGCGGACCGGCCGGGGTCTGGAGCCTTGCCTGAGAAAAGCGCAGGGGATCTCCGGGGCGACTGCGCCGAGTGATAGGGGAAGGGGAGGAATTTGTTTCCCGTCAGCCGGCGCCCCGGCCTGCGCCCCTCCTGCAGCCGAAGTCCAGCTCAGGGTCTGCGAGGCGGCCGGCAGCCCTCCCTGGGCACCCACCAAGGGTGTTTTGTTTCTAAAATACGCTTTGTTAGCCGGGCCGTCCTCCGAGCTGGCAGCAAGGAGTCAACACGCGGGTTCAGGAGCCCCGCGGAGACACTGAGAAGGTTTCTTGGGGGCCCCTTCACTCCTGGGGGCCCTACAGCCTGCATCCTGTCCTCTGCGCTGGTTCCAGCTTCAGGCGTGTGTAGGAGCCAGCCCGGCCTCACGGCTCTGAGGAGGAAGCAGACGCCACTTTCCTCTCATTTACCTTTGAGGAAGGTGCCTGGTTTACCTGCTCATGGGGGTTGATGGGCAGGGCTGCCGGCTCAGGGTCCGCCTGGGGCCCGGGGCCAGGCTCAGCTCCGGGCCCAGGTTCAGGCTCAGGGGCCAGGCCCGGGCTCAGGACCCAGGCTCAGGTCCAGACTGGGGCTCAAGTGAGTCCAGGTGGGTCTGTCCTGGTCCCGGCGCCCAGCTTCCCCAGCCTGGCCTGCAGGGGCGGCGCTGCCCACCCATTGGGTAGGGAAGAATTAGCGCGATAAGGACTAGCGGTAGATGCTAACTTCCACACTGGGAAAGGGTGGGAGCTGAGTGAAGAGGACAGGCAGTGGCTTAACCTGTGTTCCTGGCGTGTCGGGGTGCTCCTGGCGTGAGGGATTTGCTTGCCCCTGGCACCCGCTTGGTCAAAGCAGGGAGCCCTCTCTCACCCTCTGCCCTCTGCTCAATGAATGACGATCAAGCGTTTAATAAGCCCTTTTCTGGCCAGAATCTTTCTAAATAAAGACATTTTGTCTTGTTTTTAAAGTACGAAGAAAGCACGTGACTGGTGCTGGTGGCGTGGAGGCGCGTTTACCTCAGAAATGTAAAACAGCCACTTTCTCGGTGATCTTGGACAGTTACCAGCACAAGTGAGCGAGCTGTTCCCTAAGTAAACTAAGCCACGCAGAAAGCCCGAATCCTATTGTTCTTTTCAAGTGACTTTCGAGCACTGTCCTTTCTGTTAAGGGCGCGCTGGAGTACTGCCCTTCGCTGTCCTTCGTGTGACGGCCCCGTGACGGCTTTAGGAGCATCTCACCTGTGATTCTCTCCCCCTGGCCTGGGCCTGCCGGGCTTTGGGGGGTCTACAGCTGCTTAACCCACCTTCTCATGCTCTGCCTGGCAGCTTTTAAGTTCAGACTATTACGTGCCGGATGACATAGTGAGTATAGTTTTGACAATGTAAACCTTGGATTTGTCTTCTCTGGCACAGTATGTTGTTTTCGGCCAAGGCAGTCTCGATCCTGTAGTTAAAAGGAATGACAAAGGTGTAGCGATCAGAGTTTGGATTTTGTTTGAGGACGAAAGCCCAAGACAGTCCTCAAGCCTCAGAGGTACGCGGCCTCACGGCTCACTTTCTCCAGACCCTCGCCTCCAAGTCCCAGCGCCCGAGGCGTCGGAGGGGCTTTGAACTACTTTGCAAAAGCAGCCTGCTTCTTGACTGGAACACACGGGTCCGTTGGCACGGGGTTTTCCTGCAGAAACCTCACTTTTCCACTCTAGAGACAAGTTGATTCAAATCCAAGGCCAGGGCCCTAGACCTGGGGCCTCGAGCGCCTTTCCCGGGTACCGCAGGCAACAGGATAATGGACAGCAGGCTGCCGGGGCTCAGAGGCTTTTGCAGGAGGCAAGATTAGGTCCGCTGGGGAGACTGGATCCAGGGCAGGGCAGGCAGGACCCGCAGGCCAGCCAGACCAGAATCTAGGGGACTGCGCTGGGGATATTGGCCAGGCGGTGTTCCATGGAAGCCCCCCAGTCTCCTTCATTGAGGGGACAGGGAAAGGAGACCTGGAACCCCTGAACTTTAGAGGGTTTGTGGAGCAGCCTTGGGCCCAGCAGGACTTGGGAGAGCCTGAGGGAGGGACTCGACCGGCTGCTCAGCTGTAGCTGGTGAGGGCAGCTGGTGTGGGCGGGAGGCCGGTGTCCTGCGGGGGTGGCCGTGGGACCACCCCCTGGGTGAGAGAAGACACCCCTGGGTGGAGCGGCAGCCTCGGCTGAGTGGGATGTGCGCGGCAAGGGAGAGCCTGAGAAAACAGGTGTCGCGCTGGGTGACTCAGAGAGTGGGCGCTCTAAGTGTTTTTCTGGGGGACAATTGCAAAGTAGGGTCAGCGCAGCCTAACGTGCGGCAGATAACACTGACCTGGTTATTAAGTCGGAGTAAGTTATATATTTTATAAAACTATCAGATGGGGGTTAATGACAGTCACCACCACCGGGCCGGCCCCCGACGGCAGGTCCCCTGTGTGTCATCTCCAGCCTCACATGAGCTCCCGGGGCTCCAGTGGAGAGGGACCCTCAGGGTCCCCCTGCTGGTTTGGGGCTGAGCTGCCTCTGAGTCGAGGCTCCAGCCAAGCTCCACCCTTGGGTGTCAGAGTTCCCTGCTCCTGCGTAAGCTCTTTTTCATCGTTTTAAGCTGCTGCATCCCCACGGAGCATGGATTTCATAACCACACGCTCTTCCACACTCCCGTCCAGTTTCGGGAGGGGACAAGCCGCGTCTCGTGGCACGGGGCCAGCGGCCTCCGGCTGCTCGGCCAGAACAGCTTTCCACGCTCTTCAGCGCTTTCTCTAAACAGGACGTCACTTTATGGCGGCTCAGGTGATTGAAACGTCTTGGGAAAGAACAGAAACTGCTGATCCCCCGCTGCCTCGCGCTGAGGGTGGAGCTGGGAGCCCGGGTGTGACCTGGGGAGCAGACTCAGCCCTAGGCCGACCAGTCCGTCCAGCTGGGTGACTGCGGGAGGGCCTGGGCCCCTCTGGCTCTGTGGGAACCCGCTGGGGCGGGGCTGAGGTTGAAGCCAACCCCCACCCCGGACCCCAGGGCTCAGTCCTGCGACGCCATGTCCTGTGAAATGCCAGCGCTGCCCGAGAGGCCGCCTGACCACCCCCACCCGGCGCCAGGGCCAGGACCGTGGGTCCCGGGGACACCTGCGGGACACCCCCGGCTTTAGTATGTGGCTGCAGCAGAGGCCTGTGACTCTGCTTGGGATGAAAACGTGTGGCAGCAAAACACGCCACCCCCTTCTTCATCTGGCACCTGAAAAATAGCTAAGAAAGGGGTTGATTTCTGGGCTCGCCCACTGACCGCCGCTGCCCTTTTAGGCTTCAGGGTGAGTGTCCCTGCAAGGGGCAGGGACTCGGAGGTGTGAGGACAGGTGCCCTGCACAACACCCCTCACCCCATGAGGGGACCGGGAGGCCCTGCTGAGGCTCCTGCTGGGGCTGCAGCCTGTTCTGTGCTGTTACAGCGTATCATGCTCTGTTCTGTGCTGTCACATGGTAACATCATGCAAGGTTGCTGGGGCCTGGGGCGCCTGTTAGGAACCTCTGCAGGCCTCACCCCTGACGTCATGCCTTTTCCTTTCCTCTTTCCATTCTTTTCCTTTGCTTCTCCCTCCACCCGGGTTTGCTGCCACCTGTCCTTAAACCTACGCCTACACGGAAACGGGGCACAAAGCAGAGTGAAAACAGAGGAGAAAGTAGACGCTGGCCAAGCCTGCCCCCGTGCAGCCCCAGTGGGGCTCTGAGGCAGAGTTCTGTTTGGGGGGGGGTCCAGGCGCCCCAGCAGGTGGGCGCACCCCTGGCTGCAGGTATGGTGACTTGCACCGTCGCCCATGCACCCCGGAAGTGGCTGAGCAGGTGCGGCCCCGGCTGGCAAGGGCTCACGTCCAAGTCTTCATGAAGTTAATGATTGCTGATCGCCTCCCCCATCTGCAAAACAGCGCGAGAATGGGGGGCAGGCAGAGCTTTCATAGGAAGCTGCTTCCAGAGCTGCTGGAAAGCTGCTTGCCAGTTGTCAGAGGAGCCCCTCTAACAGCAGGCAGAGCCCGTCCATTGCCCTCGGGGCTGAGACGCTTGGGGAGAGTCAGGCCTCCAGGCAGTGGCCGTGGCCCCAGTGGGCCTTGCATTTTCAAAATCAAATTTGCCATTTGATTTTGGTTTGCCATTTGTTTACAGAACTGTTTTCAGGGTACAGCTTCACACCTGGACGTGGGCGCGGGGCTCACCCACCCTGCACCAGAGCCCCCGTGTCAGCCCCTTCCCACGCCCCGGGTGCCTGCCTCCTGCCCACCAGCCTTTGCCTGTTTTTCCACTTGGCTAAGCCAGACAAACAGCACCCAGAGCCTTCCCCGTGCAGAGCTGTGTCGCTCGGTGCACAGGAGTCGAAGGTATGGGACTTTGCTCTCCCAGAGTGAGGGGGCCAGGTGT